CTCCCCCACCCACGCGCGCGCGCCCCCGGCATCCTGCCCCCCTGGCCTCCTGCGGCCAGCGCGCCGTTGTCCTCCATTGACCCCCTTGCTCTTTCGGTGGACGTCGCGGGCTTGATAGATGGAGCTAACTTCCCCCTTTCTGGCCGCCCCCTTTCCTGACCGCCGTGTCGCCCAGTGCGGCCGAGCCAGGCCGCCACCGCCGCCGTCGCCGCGGTCGAGATTTTCGGCTCTATTATTCCTTAAAGGACATCGTATACAAAAGGACACTACCGCGGACGAAAAACAGCGCCGCTCTCGGACCACCTTGCCCCCCTTCTCCCTTCCCCCTTCTCCCTTTCCCCCTTCTCCCTTTCCCCCTTCTCCCTTTCCCCCTTCTCCCATTCCCCCTTCTCCCATTCCCTCTTTTCCCTTTTCCCTTCTCCCTTTCCCCCTTCTCCTTTTCGGCCCTTCTGGCCGGGCACACGTCTTCCTGTTGACCAACAAAGTACTCCCTAGAGGAGCACGTCCACGGCCTCTCCCTAACTCGCCCCACATCGTCTGTGACCAAGGGACAACAACTGAGATCGGAACGATGTGTGTTCTAGATTCGGAGAGACCGGTACTAATGAATTAGAATGCAAAGGACGTCGTCAAATCTTGAAATCATCACATCAGACTAGCGAAATGCGTGTCGAATGCTCCGGGCAGTTTTTAAATTCCTACCGTTGCGCCTTCCCTTCGACCCCTCCCCCTCCCCCCCTCCTTCTCCATCCGGATTCAATCCGCGCACGGGAGCGATCATCGCCCCCCCCCCCCCCACCCGGTTATCTTACTCAAGTGACGTCACTTTGGTTACCATGTAAAAACTGTCACATTGGTTAGATCGTGATATGAGATTCGTTTCAACGTGATGAGTATGGAAAATTCTAGAGACACATTAAATAAAACGTGACTGTCAAATAATGTGACGGTTTTCACATGGAAAAGAAATGTGACGACACCATGAATTGAACCACAGTGCCGCCCTCAAGTAGATCTCGCGAGTGATGCCGTGTTCGTGCGTGTGTTGTGTTCCAGTGCTAGCATGAGGCGACCACTCCTGTCCGGATAAGACATGTCAGTGCGAAGGGTGCGCACGGAGCACGCGCGCGATGCCCAGAAAGGTGAGTGAGTGAGCCTGCCGTGGCAAAAAAAAAATTTCTCTTAGTTTTTTGTTTTTTCCATCCTTTCTTTACGTTGTTTCCTCTCTCTCTCTCTCTGTGCGCGCTTTGCCGCTGTTGCTTTTTCTCTTCCTGCTTTAGGCTCCTCTGCGACTCGCACGTCGTATGCCTCTTTACCGTCGTGTGTGTCGGGGGACCACTGGCTGTGAGTGTGTGTATGTGTGTGTGTGTGTGTGAGTGTGTGTGAGTGGGGCGAGCGAGAGGGCGCATTGTACTCGCGACATCACCCCCAACACCCCGTCCGTCCGCACTCACTCTCGAGCTCGCGACATTTTATTGCCACGCGCATACTGTGAAAAATATACACTTCTTTGTAAGTCAGAAAATTCCAAAGTAAGTGACAGAATTCTTATGACACGTATCAAATTGAAATTTTGTTCCACGAGCCGTAGTGGATAAAAGCGATAGCGATATCGTGAACTTTACAACACGGGGCGTTTGTGATACGTAATTTACAAAAAAAAAAAAATCAAATATTTCCAAATGCGCAAGTTTATTTTTCACAGCGCGGCAAGCCCGCCCGCTCCACACTGTATGTAGACGTTTTTATTCCTCGACAAGCGGACGGGGCTGCGCGAGCCCCGGCTCGTCCGTGAGCCCACAGCCCGTCGGTGGGGAGGGGTAGGTGGGTTGGGGGGTGGGGAGCCCTCCCCGCGCCGTTGCCGCCAGGGCAGCCGCACGTCGCTGCGGCTCCTTCTCTATTCAAACGCCGTGATCTTGCTGCTCGGGCGGAGCCGAAACAGACAGAGCGGAAAAAGAAGAAGGAATGAGAATGAGGAATGTACTCTCATTGGTGACGTCTTTGTACAACACGACTGGATAATACAATTCCCAGATGGACTGACAGATTCGGGATTCCCCTCTTCTTTCTTTTTGTTCCCTTTTTCCTCTTTTCTTTTCTGGGTAATTATTGTGAAGTGGGCTTGGCTGGAGACGGTAGCTGCGGCTGCGAGATCTGCCCCGAAGAAGGAATCAACCCTGAATGTACATCCGTCATTCGCGGTTTCAAAATAATAAGTTCTGCCCAGCTCAGCGGATGCGAGCTCTTGTAGCGCCTGCTAGGTAGGCAAGATCTTGCCTGCAGCGCATGCGTGTCCCGCGGGGTGGCCTACCCTGAGTCTCGCAGGCGCCCAGCTTCCGTAAATTTTGCCGAAGGGAATCTGAGAAGAACACGGCGGGACGTATTTTCTTGGACGGTTCCCTTATAAGTCGCGGAGCGGTCTTGCTTTTGCACGGCTCTGAAGTTGGGTAACGGCAAGATGGCAAGTAGTGGAGGTGGGGGGG